AACCAGGCTCAAGAACCACAGGTTGAAAAGTCTAAATGATAAAATTCATATGAAAGCAGCTTTCAAGAGGGCCTTATCAATGTGTGGTACTGTTATTTTTGTTGTTTATTTCTCTTTAAAAGAGAGATACCAAAATCCTACACAAATAAATCCCCAAGAGAAAGAAAATGAGTAAGTGAATAAAATCAGTCAGTGTGATATTGCGATTCATAATAAGAAATACCTAGTTGGACTTTGTTCTGTTTCTCGCTCAAAGCTCCCCAAACCCTTGGAAGTTCCCGAGCCTTGAGTGGGAGTCTCTCTCTTGTCCTTTGTTCTGGAAATGGCTACAGAGTCATAAAGGTGAAATGGGTATGTTGTTACTCATAACAGTCCCCTTTCCACCACAACTGGGTTTTGTTAATGAGCTGAATTTAGCAGATCCCTTAAAGGTGAGGGGAGATGATTGACAACTCGAAGCTAAGTTGCCAAGAGAGCCAACCTTGTGATTCAAGGGTTGGAACTTCTAGTTCCACCCTTGAACTCCTGGGGGTGGAGTCACACTGGAGACTGAATGTAGTCACCCATGGCCAATAATTTGATCAATAATGCCCGTGTAATGAAGACTCCATGAAAACTAAAACGACGGGCTTGGAGAGCTTCTGGTTGGTGAACGGGTTGAGATTCTGGGAGGATGGCAGGACGGAGAGGGCATGGAAGCTCAGTTCCTCTTCCCACGTACCTTGCCCTCTGCCTCTCTTCTATCTGGCTCTTCCTGAGTTACATCTTTTATCTAATAAGCAAAGTTTTCTCTGAGTCCTGTGAGCTGCTGTAGCACATTAACCACACCCCAGGAGGGGGTCACTGGAATCTCCACCCTGAGCCAGTGAGTCAGAAGAACAGATGACAACTTGGACTTGTGCCTGTCACCTGAGGGTGATGGAGGGATGCGAGGTGTCTTGTAGGACTGAGCCCTTGACCTGTGAGAGCTGACACTATTTCCAGGTCCAGAGGGTTGGAATTGAGTTAAATTGTAGGACACCCAGCTGGTGTTGGGGAATTGGTCTCAGAATCTTTTCCTTGAGATCTGCAACCTTTCTAGATTAAAATTAGGGTCAAGTAATTTAACCACCCAACAGCCCCATGGGACTGGGTTAAATGTGCTGCCAATGTGTTTAGTCCAGTGGAAACTCAGAGAGATGAGGCTGGTGGCCTCATTTTTCAGTGAAGCAATTAAAGCGTGGAAAGGCAAATCATTGTATGAGGTTCCCATACCTGGGAGTGGAGTTGATGGCAGCAAACATCAGAGTCAAGGGCTCTTTGTGTGAGATCTTAGCTGCTTCCTGATCCTACCAGATAGAGCTTAAAACCCCATCATTTCAAATTGTTGACAGCAAACGAATAACACTAATGATGGCAGCAGTATCCCATTATCATCTTATGTGTTGTCAGCTCTTCAAGGTGCTTTCACGTGTTTTGTATTTTAGAGTCATGGTATTGAAATCACAACCTCAGATGGCTACTCTGAGGCCGCCCTGAATTTAAAGATAGGTCAAGTTGTGACAGTCTTAATGGGAAATCTCCCAGGGAATGAGTGTTATGAACACATAGTAAGTAAGTTCTCAGGCTGTCCCCTGATTACCATGCACAGTGCTAAGGAGGAGGCCGAGTCAGTGACTGCTCGAGACCCCACCAGGGGAAACGTAAATTTATCACACGACCCAGGAATTCCACTCCTGGGTGCCTCCCCAGGAGAAATGAAAACATTTCCACACAGACTTGTACACAAAAGTTTGTAGCAGTGGTATTTATTATTGCCAAAAGGTGAAAATGGCACACATGTCTGTCCACAGGTGAATAGGTAAACAAAATATGTACTACCCACACAGTGGAATATTACTTAGTCATGACCAGGAATGAAGTCCTGATACATGCTACAGCATGGACAAATCCAAAAAAGAAGTTATGCCAATTGGAAGCATCCAAATGCAGAGAACTGCATAATATATCATTCCCTTATACAAAATGCCCAGAAAAGGCAAATCTATACAGACAGACAGCCAGTCAGCGGTTGCGCAGGGCCAGGAGGTGGAAATAGGGAAATATTACAAGTGAGCACAAGTATCTTCTTGAACTGATAGAAATGTTCTAAGATGGAATTGTGGTTGTGGTTGCACCCTCTGTAAGCTAACTAGGAAATAGCTCACTGAATTGCACACTTGAAATGGATAAACCACTATGATGTAGATGTTTTACCTGACTGAAATTTCTCAGGAGCCCATCAGGAGTATAACAGCAAAGGTGATGTGATGCAGAATTTGACATCACTTTTTCTCACCAAGACTTTTTGGCAGAAGGTCAGAGGAGACCTAGCCCATAGGGAGTTTCCCTGGAAAGTAGATTCAAGAAACGTGTTCAAACCAATATCTAGTCTATAAATTTCTATGAAGAAAGTGATCTTCCCATGAACAAGAAGGCTCATGTTGCCCCTCAGGTCTTCCGACTCTCTGCATTGAATGTCTGGGAGGCTGTCAGTCAACAGGAGCCCCCTTTTGGCGTTCTGGGTAAGGAAGACGATCTCGGGGTAATGGATGGTGTCAACGATGCTTCACAACAGCCACTCAAGAGGCCTGTGAACTGAACCAGCCACCTCCTGGAGATGCTATTTGTGGACTAGTTTGCTAATGTTCCCCAGATGCAGTGACCCTCTGCCTGGGCACTGCAGGTCAGTCATTGTCAAGTCTGTTCCTGTCTTCCCCTCTCTACCATGTTCCATTCAGACAACTCTCTTTCTGTTTCAACAGTCTTTCCCCAGCCAGGACGCCATGCCACATTTGGGTTTCTTCATTCTCCTTTATGAGGCTGTGACAGATCTGACTTCTGTACACTCTGGTGTGAGCGTGCTCACCACCTTCCTGAGAGTAAGACTGGACTGCACACGGCCAGTGCTCCTAGCACCTCTCAAAGGCCCTTTCCAGATCCTGGAGATGCCTGCCAGTGCTGTGGACAAGGCTGAGCACTCAACTAGCTGAGTTCACTGGCTTGAACTTAATGAACTTCCTGTTCTCTTAATGCAAATTCAACAACAGCTGCCTGTTCTCAAAGTGGGGCTAGTATTGGAGTGTTCTTCATTCTTGCTTCACATGAAACCCAGATCCTTCCAGCTTACTCCTGCTGCTGCCTGATGGAATTGGATACAAAGACCAGGATAGAAATGGGCCATCCGTGTGCTCCAGGCATCTCCATACTGTGTCCTGAGAAAGTGGGCAGTTGTGAGAGGGCCGGCCTAACATGTGAATGTCACATCAGCTCTGCCCCTCTCATCCCCATGAACTGCAGTAACTCAGACTAGAATACTTTGTTTTTAATATTCTTTTTAATTGAAGTATAGTCAGTTTACAATGTGTCAATTTCTGGTGTACAGCATAATGTTTTAGTCATACATGTACATACATATATTCCTTTTCATATTCTTTTTCACTATAGTTACTACATGATATTGAATATAGCTCCCTGTGCTATACAGAAGAAACCTGCTGTTTATCTATTTTGTATACAGTAATTAGTATCTGTAAATCTCAAACTCCCATTTTATCCTTCCCCACCCCCTTTCCACCCTGGTAGCCGTGAGTTTATTGTCTATGTCTGTGAGTCTGTTTTTGTTTTGTAAGTAAGTTCATTTATGTCTTTTTTTAAAAACTCCACATATAAGCAATCTCAAATGGTATTTTTCTTTCTCTTTCTGGCTTACTTCACTTAGAATGATGATCTTCAGGTCCATCTATGTTGCAGCAAATGGCGTTATTTTATTCTTTTAATGGCTGAGTAGTATTCCACTGTATGAATACATCACAACTTCTTTATCCAGTCCTCTATCGATGGACATCTAGGTTGTTTCCGTATTTTGGCTGTTGTAGATTCAGACCAGAATGCTTAAAACACCCACTGTCTGTCTATGATACCAGCCTATTTAAAATTAAACATGAAGCTACCCAGTTGCTCCTCAGTGCCATCATTCTCCTTTATTCTCAACTTAAAATTATCCTCAGATTTAATTCTGACTCTCAAGCCCAAACATGTCTTCCAGCTAAAACCTATGTGAATGTATCTGTGCCCCACACTTTCCTTCTAACCTTGCCCTTGACTCAAGATGTGACCCTGTTTCCAACCCCACTGGAAGCATCCTCCGTCCAATTCTCCATCCAATTGCTTTCCCAGTTCTGTTTCCTATCATCCCAGACAATGAGCATGTCAACTGGAAGAGGGCCCTCCCATGCCAGGTAACCCAGCAGAAGTGGATAAGCTCATCTACAGCCAGGACGTGTATATCGTTCCATGTAAAGAGGAAGGATGCAGATGGTCCCTTCTCTGCCCATCCACTGGGTTGTGTGCACATAGACCCTGCTGTCACAGACCCCCTCCAGTTGGGATATTTGCAAATTCCCAGTCAAAGAAAGCTCTGTTTGCACTCATCAGTGACAAGACTAGAGCTTACAAACGTAACTGCTGAAAAACTGAGCACGTGAAAGAGAGGCGTGTTTAACCTATCACTTGGCTTCTCACAGCGTGACATATTGGTTCAGGTTCTACCCAGCAGTTTTGATTCCTGCCCCAATACTCTGAGGCCCATTAGACGGCTGACAGCTTCTGGCCTCCACGGCCAGAATTCAAACAGGAAGAGACGTTGTTTCACAGCAATTAACAGTGATGCTTGGAAGAGGTGGCAACAAGCTGAAAAAATTAATTGAAAATGTAACCTTCAAATAAAAATACATAGACCTTAGGCTTCCATTTGTAAGCCGCTTATGCTGTGTGCACATTCAGTTGTATTATTTAAGTATTTTCTACACCATTTCTGATTAATACAGCAGTGCTATTTTCCAGTCCAGTCTCCTTAATAAATATATGTGTCAAATATCTGCTTCCTCCCCTGAATGCAAAGGCTTTTAATTCCCCTTGTTTGCATGTGCTAACTGGTTGTGTAACGAGATTAACAGCTCTGTCTTTTTTTTTTCCTGCAGATTTTATAAGAAAAGCCAGTGGGCTCCCAGACAGAGTTAAAAAGGTACCTTCTTTAATTTTGCATATTGTTAGCTACAATCCGGCTGCTAATGTTTGTTTTATTTCCATCTGTCAAAAGCAATGCCAAAATACGTTGTGTTTGCCTTGAGTTGGCTCAATTAATCCTCCGCTGGAAACAGTTCTGTCATTTCATGTTTGGTTAAGGCCCTGACTCAGGAGCAACCAAATGGGGGAGCTCATCTCTGCCAACGGCAGCCAGCGCACACTTGATACAACTTGCTGGGAAGGAGCCGTTTGACAAAGACAAAAGAGAAAGGGGAGATAGCACCCTTATAGGAATGTTGATTTAGAGCCAGCCCTTCGCTCCTGTGGGTACAGAGAAGTGTGTCCTGGGCTTGAGCCTATAAACAGTTTCTGTGGAGCTAAAAGAACGCAGTTAATGGCTCACCCTGAGAGACTGACTCTGTAGGGTCCCAGTGTGGGGCAGCCCCGCCTGAGTGCGGCTTCCATGTAAGTCTGATGATGGTGTCTTAGTCTGCTAGGGCTGCCATTACAAAATAGCCCAGACTAGGGGGCTTAAACGTTCATTTTCTCACAGTTCTTCAGGCTGGAAGTCCAACGTCAGGGTGTGAGCAGGGTCAGTTTCTTCTGAGACCTCTCTCCTGGGTTTGGAGATGTGGCGCGTGTCTTCACATGCGCTTCCCTCTGTGTGTATGTCTTGTCTGTATCAGAATGTCCTCTTTTTGTAAGGACCTCCGTCATACTGGAAGGGTCCGAACATGATGACCTCATTTTAGCTTAATGACCTCTTTAAAGACTCTGTGTCCAAATATAGTCACATGCTGACATACTTGGGGTTGAGACCACAGCACATGAATTTTGGAGGGCTGCAGTTCAGTCTGTAAGATGGTAACCAAAAAATAAATAAATGAAAACACGAGGTAGAAGGAAAAGACCTTAGACCCAAACTATAAAGCAGCCACTCTGTAGCTTTCTCACTCTCTCTCGCCTTTCATTCTTTTTGCTTCTTCTTTATCTATCTCTGAATAAAAGCTATAGTCACCATCTCTATGCAGTTAGCATATTTTACAGAATATAGGCTTTTGATTGTCATGCTCTGAGTCCAAATCCTGACTTGACCTCTTGTTAGCTGTATGACCAAGGGCAAGTCGTTTAAATTCTGAGTCTCAGGTTCTTCTCCTTAAAGTGGGGTTAATAACTAACCCCGCAGATTTTCTTTCATATAGACGATAAGGTACTCTATGTAGGAGCCAATGGCACACCGGGGTTGGGGAAGTGGGAGTGGTCTGCCCTGAGTGCAGGTAATAGGGGATGTATTGTGGGTAGAAAATTTAAAAGTGGTAACACAAGTGCCTTTTTAAACAAAGGTGATGTAACACTCTTGCACCCCTGGGAAGATGCCGCCCACTGCTGACCCATCCTCCCATATCTGGACCAGGACAGCACTCTCTCTGTTTCTACCTGTTGCATATTAAATGCATGTGTCCACCCGCCCCGCCCACATCCACACACTTCTGTATCTTGGATTTAGTCATTCTCGGGACAGCTTAACCAAAGGTATTTCACATGACTGCACAACTTATTTTTTATTCATTTTACTCAGAAATTGGCAAACCTCAGAGCTAAATTATATATGATAGAGGAGAGTCATCACTTATTGTTGTTTCGAAAAGAGGCCTAGTAGCCTCTTGTTAGAGCCTTGCTCTTCCTCCCCTGGTATCTTCAGTTCCTCCATCCAGCTTCCAGGGCTGGGCCCTGCCAGAAGACATCTTGCTGTGATTCAAGAATCAAAATACACACAAAATAACTACAAGAGAAGTGTGTGTGTCTGGGCCTGTGTATGGTTCCATATCCCTTTCTGAAGTGGTACCCGATCCCCTGGCATCTTTATATAAAGTAGCTACTTACATAATTGCTGCACCGTATAAGTAACTATTTCATGTAAACAGAAGAACAGAGAGTTGGTTAGTCGTGCTAAAAAATAGCAACATAAAACAGAATTCTGAATGGTACATTTCTTTTTTTGGTGGATGACACCTGTCTTCATATAATATCGTAAACCCTTGGCATGAATCGTTAAACTTTTCCAGACAATATTTCTCGCTGGGATTTTACAAAGTAAGTTCCTCAGTCTAGATCTCAAAGGTGGAGGAAAAGGTTGTAGTGTGTACATTACATGGGGTATCATGCAGTTACTAAAATGATGGCTTTGATGTCCATTTAATAAAATGGAGCTATTTGATCATATCCTGTTAAGTGAACAAAAAGAAGCAGAATGCTATGTAATACATATTTAAAATGTTTAACAACAAAAAGTAAATGCATCTAATGGTGTTTAATAATATTGGAAATTTAGCACACTCACACAAGAATGCCTTTGGAAAGAGCCCTTTTTTGTGAAGTGGGTGGCAGGTTTTGAATCTGCTCTGTGCACCCTGGGTATCAGAATCTTAAACCTGCATCTCATCAGTTTTGGCCTGATTTGGATTTCTGTAATTAAAAGAACAGTTGCATGGAATCTGTGGGTGAAGAGTGGGATCAGATCTAGGATTTAAACATGGCGATCCAAAGATGGGTTAGCATGGTTGAACCCAATCGAAAATGAAACTTCACAGAGATTTCTAGATGGTTGGCATACCTATAACTCATAACCTTTGAATATTACAAAACAGGGCCTTAATAAGTCACAGATTCTTCTCAGTAAGACATGATAAAATCTCTAGCTTGTATTCACTAAGAAAATTGTCTGGTTTGGCTCAGATGGCTCAGATGGCTCATTTTTGCCATCCGGATTCTCTTCCCACACCATTCTGGACACATTATAGATTTGCCTGAAGATAGCATTTCCATGGCTCAGGCCCATAATTATAAGCTGCAGAATTTCCTGGGTTTCTGTTACTAGAAATTGCTAATTTGGTAGGATGTGAACAACATAGTTATTATAAAATCATATTTGAAGAGCCTTCTGCTTGCCTACAAGGTGCGCCCCCACGTGCACGTGCCGTATGCAGCCCCTGCTGATTTCTGCCCCCTCATCTGATTTCTCTTTGATCGCCGTGGGGTGTAGAGCTATGGAGGGGTTTTGGTAGCAGCAATTATTTTTCAAAATGGGAAGATACAAATCATAAAAGGAATGTCTCAACTGCAGGGCTGTAGATTCCATGCCTCTTCCTAAATGCCACGATTCCATCCTCCCACTAGGGTTGGGCTGGTGGGTCACTTCACACCCACAGCCCCAGGGTTTCGCGTTGAACAAGAGGCCTGGAAGGTAACATATCCAAGTATTGATAGTGACTGCATTTGAGTCTTGGAATTATGGGAATATTTTCTCCCCTTGTTTAACAAAGATCCTTTCATAACTCTGATGAAAAAGAAAAAGTTTCTTTTTTAAGCCATAATAGTCATGCTACTTTTTTATTATACGTGTATATTTTTATTGAAGTATAGTCAGTTTACAGTGTGTCAGTTTCTGGTGCACAGCATAATGCTTCAGTCATACATGAACATACATATATTTGTTTTCATGTTCTTTTTCACCATAAGTTACTACAGGATATTGAATATACGTCCCTGTGCTGTACAGTATGAACTTGTTTATCTGTTTTATATGTAGCAGTTAGTGTCTTTAAAACTCGAGCTCCCAATTTATCCCTTCCCCCCCGGTAACCATAAGTTTGTTTTCCATGTCTGTGAGTCTGTTTCTGTTTTGTAAATAAGTTCACTTGTCTTTTTTTTTTTTTAAGACTCCACATATAAGTGATATCATATGATTTTTTTTTCTCTTTCTGGCTTAGTTCACTTAGAATGACAATCTCCAGGTCCTATGCTTCTTTTTAATGTGCACACCAAACCTCTTGATATCATGTGAGCTAATTCTGTTCATGTCAACACCTTTATCATCACACGTGAGAAATTGAAATGCCAAAATTTATAAAGAGGAATAACTGAACATTTCCACTAAAATCATGACCATATGCTGGACGCTGGTAGGAATAACTTTTTAATTTAAAAATTTAAAAAACTTACTTGCAAACCCAAATAAATAGAAAGACATGGAGACTGTTGTCTGTGATATTAAAAAATAGATGGCTCTGGTTCATCCTAACCTTTATTTAATCACTCATTTATTCATCCAACATTTTCTATGGGGTTGGCCATTGGATTCACTGGTGTGCCAAGTGCATATTCCCTGTCCTCAAGGAGCTTACGATCTAGGTTAATTTCCTATCAGAATAAACATATTCTAGGATTAACAGGTACTAAATTAAAAGTGAAGAAAAAGAAAAAAATAGATTACAGAACTATAATTTGCATGCATGGAAGTATGTAGGATAAAATTTTGTTTTCCACTTCATCCACTACACACAGACATGCAGACACACACAC